AGAATCTACTTCCGACCCGACCTGCCCCACCCTATCCTATACCAATTTTATCAAAATTTCTTATAGTATCTATATATATTTTTCCTATTTTGATTTTTATTCAATTAGTTAGAGTCGATTTTTCAATTTGTTAGACTCAATTACCCATTCTATTATAACTATTTTTCAATCATAAAGTTTTTCCCCCTTTGTTTTATCGTTAAAAGTAAAATTGTATATATTTTTTCAAATAACACATAAGTGTGGGTCTACCCATTCCATCCCATAGTAGCGTGGAACGAAGCATGGGAATTGAGGCCCCGGCTCGCCCCGCCCGCTCCATTGCCATCCATAGATACTAACACTTAAGGATGTAATTAACGCCCTATCCATTCTCTCAATCGAAAAGATATATAAAGGCAAAACATGAGTTGGAATTGCCCCATTTCAAATTTCGCGGCCTGAGAGTGATTCCAGGAAAGTCGTTTTTGTCATTGCACCCCGTTCATCTTTATGTATTAAAAATGTTATCATTGGAGTTCAAACCTTGGTCCCTCAAAGGAAGAAAGAAGATTATAACCAGCTAGGCTACATTATATTTACTGTTACTTCTTTGATTAAATTCTAGGAATATGTTTGGTGATGATGCTTTTATATTTATATTTTATCTTAAGTTATTTATATTTTATAGAAAGAGATTAATTCTGAAATTGAAACTCAAGTAACATTGATTCAAACATTAATATTAAATTGTATGTGTAGTTTCGGTTAGACAAAATATAGAAGTGTAACCAAAACATAGTCATTTGTGACAAATCTACACATAATATAATCATAAAATTGAAAAATGAGAGTCTCATTTCAAATTTCGTGGCTTGAGAGTGATTCTACGAACTTCTATTTTTTCATAGCGCCCAATTTATCTCTATATTTATGTGTAGATTTTCCACAAAAAAATTACTATATTTGTCACAAAGATCCATGTTTAGGCTACACACATGCATTTTATCTAAACTGAACTACACAAACAATTTAATAATTGAATCAATGTTACTTGAGTTACGATTTCTCAATTCATCACTTTCTATAAGATAAAAAATTTCAAGAAAAATACCTACTTGGTTGAAGAAGCTCTTCTATAACATATATTCAATGTTTGAAGATTTTCTATTTCAAATTTCGTGAAACGAGAGTGAAAGTAGGAAGAATATTTTTGTTATCACAATTATTTTTCTACTTCCAATAAAAGAGTATTAATATCAAGATTTGAACCATGATATCTTCAAACAAAAACAATAATCACAATCAATTACACTAAAAAAATTTGTTTTATCTTCTTAAATTATAAACATATACTAAATGAAGATTTGAAAAGCATACGACTTTTCCATCAGGGTTAGCTAGCCTATTAAATATTATGAAAATCCAAGTTTAATACGTCATTTATAATTTTTTATAACCTATAAAATGATGGGTAATCTTAAAACTGCAACATAAATGTCAATGCTTTAAATATTGCATACCGAATAGCAGTATTCAATATGCAAAAATGATGTGAATTCTTTAAATTAATATAAATTTTTCAGAACTACAATGTAGCAATAATATTTATTACAAACTATAGGTGGCTGGTTCTATAAATTTTAGTCGGGTTAACTGCTAAACGTTAAACCTCTTGCTAATCTGGCATGAATAGAGCGACAATAATGAGACAATATTGGGTTTAATGTGATGTTCATTTCGCCATTTTTTGGATGTGTTGATCAATTTAAGGGCATTAACATATAAATGGGTTATAATTAACCTCATTATACAATTTTACTATTTATAATAATTAATTTAATCTTAATAATTATGATGTTTGAAATATTTTATGTATGATTTAGAGGTATACTTATTATTTGTGACATCAGTAGTAGTTGGTTTAAATGTAGTATTTTATTAGGTAGTCAAAAATCAAATACTAGATGCATTTATGACTGTTATTTATCTTGGTGTTGTGAATATGTAGAAACTTAATTATTAGAATTCATATAACTATACCTAGGTACATGATCGAGCTAGCATAACACAGTTAGAGCATACCATGAAGAAAATGTATATGGATTGACCTTGTACAAGCATTAATGCTTCATGGGTCATACCAGACTTAAACTTCAAGGGCTCGCGTTTGGTGAGCTCGTGTTTTATAGAGAAATTCTTCATTTGATAAAAATAAAATATAATATTATAAAAAACATATAAAATTTGAATTAATGAGTAGTTTTTCACATCAACGTGTGACGGCTCAGATTCTAAAAGGTCTATAAAATACATTAATTGTTTATTTTGAGACTAAAACCTTTTACAATGTATACAACTAAACTCTCATTTATAAAATAATTTTTGATTAACTTCATAGTTGAAAAGTCTTTTTTACAACTTACAGTAATAACAAACAACGTCAACAATAACTTTAGAAGCATGTAAAGTGAAGAAGAAATTGAGATTTAGTATTTTTTTTTTTTTTTTTTTTTGCAAATGTGTGCGTATGTTTGGGGGAGGGGGATACTTTTTTTGTCTAAAAAATTTGAGAAAGGGTTGAAACTCATATATCATTTGTTTGAATATTGCATATTGAATTTCAGTATTGAACATTTTAAGCGATATATAATTCTTAAATTAGTATTAATTTTCAGCCCAGTTGACCAATAGCCTTAGATCTTTTGCTCATATCATATAGATCCAATAATCATAAGATGAGATTTAGTTTGATATGCAGATTCAAAATCATATTTTATGTAGAATGAATTTGTATGAAAAATATATGTAAATAAGTAAAGATGAACCAGATTATGTATTTTAATTCTTTAGATAAATAAAATGGTTTAAGCGATGAACTAACTATACACTCACTCGATTGGTTAACGAGTTCTGTTTTTTTTTTTTATCACTTTTAGTAATTAATTTATTCACAAGCTATCAAACTACTTTGCTCCGTCAAGGAATAAGCGGCCATTTGTTCACCGGGTTTCAGGTGCTTTTGATTCACACTATCGACTGTGAATGGAGAAAAAGCATTTCGAACTCAAAATTGGAGAAGTAATTGGGATGTTTCTAGATTTCTATCGGTCATGGGAAGAAAGAGGAAGGGAAAGGGGGAGAGTGGTGAGATACAAAGCTCACAGAGAGATGGAAGAACAAACGGAAAAACAAAGAGGAAGACTAAGAGAGAGTGAGAGGCCACACTTAAAAGAGGGGGGAAATGAGATAGTGCCCTTTTGCTTTGCTTAGTCGGTATGCTTGGCCCTCTTCTTTTGAGTTTTGATTTATGTTAGTAAAAGACATTATATTTGATAGATTTTTTTTCATTTCAATTTCAATTTAAAATCCTAAATCAATATTATCATTTGGATGATTTTTTTCCTTAATACGATTATGGTAATTTCTTAGGTTTAAGGGGTATTTGATATGTCAATATTTTAGTAGTTTTTTATTTAAAGTTTGAATTGAAAGATGGTACATACTGGCGATTCGACAATAAAACATCAGACCATAGGCTAAATCGACAGGTGAAATTTAGAAATATGAAACCGTTGAAGCATTGTTAAATTATGACTTCAATAATAAATATTCTACTACAAAAATTTTGGAGACGATTTTACAATCCTTTGGTTCCAACAATTATTTTACACTGGTGGAAACAAAAGTTTTAAGACGATGTGATCTCATTCAACCCAAAAGACACTTTACAACTTCTATATTTTTAAAATAATGTATGCTTCTCATACACCTGTTCATTCATCAACTTAATGAGTAACATATATTTCATATAATATGAATTTTATAGGTTTTTATTTATTGAATTATTTCATGAAAAAAATATTTGCTGCATGAAAATTACTACATTGTTGCTAAACATGTATGTGATATGAGAATAATTTGGTAAGTTCATACACAGCACATTGTCCAACTTACTATTAGCGACAAGTTAGCATTATGTCCTATATATTTCAAAACAAGCAACTTCAGATTCATTACCAACTGTGTGGTAAAAAAAATGCTCTATATTAGGAAAAACTTAAAGGACATACTAAACTCTATGAGAGACATTTGTTTCATCATAACTGTTGATTATGTATGTATTATGAGAAACAACTCTAATATTCAACTATATGGTTTAATTAAACAATAAATGACAATTAATTATATTTATTTATTTTTCATTCAATAATTATATGTAATGCTTATATTATATATTTTTCTCTCTTTTCATCGAGGTCTAAATACATTATGCATAGTTGAATCACTTTCAAAAATGTTATGTGCATAACTAAGATAGAAAACAATCATTTCATGTATTTCAAATCATCTATTATTAGGGGTGGCTATTTGGACCGGGACCGGATTAAAAACAGGAAACCGGACCGTATAACCCGGACCGAGACCGGACCGGGACCGGATAGTAAACAATCCAATCCAATCTTTGGGCTTAGATTTGAGGTAAAAACCGGATAAAGACCGGATAAGAGAGCTCAACACCCAAAACTTAAGGGTAATTTGCATAAACAGTCACAAACCTTTGCACTTAGTACAAAACTTAACCAACTCCTCACCTTTTAAGGCCTTAGGCCACTCAAATCTCACAATCTCAATGTAAAATCAAGACCGAATTGGGACCGGACCGGATCAAGACCGGATTGTATCCAATCCAATTCGGTCCTTATATTTTCAAAAAGACCGTACTGGACCGGATTAATTTTGGCCAATTTAACCGGACCGGACCGTATAGCCACCCTTATCTATTATATTCATTATCATATATCACATTAATCGATGAAATTCTTTCGGCCAACAGGCCGGTTATTGTGATAGTTCTTTATACAATCAAGTAGCGGAGGCATGATCCAATCAACTAGTTTGGATATAAAGGCCCAAGAGACAGCTGGTATATCATGACCGACGGAAAGAAACGCGGTTGGAACTTTCTATCATCACATGAAGGGAAATATAAATAATCCACAGCGCATCACTATTCCCATCAGTTCAGTTTACGATCGCTCCAATTTCCGGCCATTATATTTACCGCGAAAATAAACAGAAGGCCGACCGTGATTAAAGCCATACAAACGACTCCGATCCCGGCGGTCCCGGATTTTCACAGCCCGCCCTTATTCCGCCATTTAATACCACCGCAAAGAATCCTCCCAAAAATCCCTTGCATTTCTCGAAATCAGAATCCAAGAGTGATTTTAGAACAGGGGAAGAAGTCCGGCAATGGGCTCTCTTCCGCCATCTCTCGATCTTCCTTCCGATCCCAAACACCGCCAGCAGCAGATCGACGAATCCACCCTCCTGGATCTCTTCAAAGCCCAGCAGAACCACCTCAATTACTTCTTTCGCCACCTCGATCTCTCGCAGGCGCTCTCCTTCGCCCACACCCTCCTCAACTCTTCCGGCACCATCTTCTTCTCCGGCGTCGGCAAGTCCGGCTTCGTCGCCAACAAGATCTCGCAGACCCTCGTCTCCCTCGGCATCCGCGCCTCCTTCCTCCACCCCGTCGACGCCCTCCACGGCGACATCGGCGCCCTCTCCTCCCTCGACGTCCTCGTCCTCTTCAGCAAGTCTGGTAACACCGACGAGCTCCTCCGCCTGGTCCCCTGCGCCAGGGCCAAAGGTGCTCGCCTGGTGTCGGTGACTTCCGTCCAAGGGAACGCCCTGGCGTCTGTCTGCGATATGAATGTACATTTGCCGCTGGAGAGGGAGCTCTGCCCTTTTGATTTGGCACCGGTAACCTCCACCGCGATCCAGATGGTGTTTGGGGATACGGTGGCGATCGCGCTTATGGGAGCGAGGAATTTGACCAAGGAGGAGTACGCGACTAACCATCCTGCTGGCAGAATCGGCAAGAGCTTGATTTTCAAGGTTCGTTTCAAAATTGGGGTCAAAATTGTTGTTGCCCACAATGTGTTTGATATATTGCTGATGTTGGAATTCAATGCGAATTGATCTGAGAACTGAAGTGGTTAATTGGGTCTGCGTTTGTTAGTAGTCTGACGATAGATAGCCTTGATATCGACTTCAATTATCTTCGCCACGAGGAGTAAGAACTCGGAATGATAATGTTTCGAATTTGCAGGTGAAGGATGTTATGAAGAAGCAAAATGAGCTGCCGGTGTGCAGGGAGGGAGATCTGATTATGGACCAGCTGGTTGAGCTGACTAGTAAAGGCTGCGGTTGCCTTCTTGTCATTGATCCTGATTATCACCTTATTGGGACGTTTACTGATGGTGATCTCCGGCGAACTCTCAAGGCTAGTGGGGAAGCCATATTCAAGCTTACAGTTGGGGAAATGTGCAACAGGTACAAGAAAGGAACCTGCATTTTCTTCTACTTTACTTTTTCTTTTTTGCTGTGAAGATTAGAACTGCATGTAGAAACATGTCCTATGCCTCGGGGAAGATCGCGACTGTCGTGATTTGGGTACCCACGATACCCAATGGCTGATTCTGTTTCTCTTGAACTCACTGTGGTTACCTGCCGATCATTTCCAGGAAACCAAGAACAATTGGTCCAGATGCAATGGCAGTGGAAGCAATGAAGAAGATGGAATCACCACCATCACCTGTACAGTTTTTGCCTGTGATCAATGATCAGAATGTTTTGATTGGAATCATAACCCTCCATGGACTAGTTTCAGCAGGTCTTTGATCTCAACAGCTATTATTCCAGGCGGAGCCATATGTAGTTCCATGTCAACAATAGTGTTTTTCCTTCTGCAGAAGGATGATTATCATCATTCCTTGTAGTCATCAGTCATCACTCAAGATAGCGGCTGGGTGGGATTTTGCAGAGGGGATCTTCTTTTGCATTCTTTCACGATTGACATCGAAACAATGAAACTCCTTGTACTGTACCGTCGATTTCTGTAATATAGTTAACTATCCCATTTCTATTTCATTGAGAGACAGATATGAAAAAGGATGATTCTTTCCTTGGTTCATACTGCACTTCCAGATTCACGTTGTTTGTGCAAGGAAGGCCGACCAACCTGCAAATGCATCATCGTCACATCTTCCCAGTGATAGTGAGAAACGAAAATTTTGCTACAATATATTTACAAAGATGAGCTTGATTCACTGGTGCTATCAGATGAAACTTCAGACATATGTATGTTACAAGCATCAACAGCAGCAGAAGTAAAATGAGACGTCGGCTTCACACTGCTTTTGTCCTTCAGTTTCTTTTCTTTCAAGGACTTCCATTGGAGCACTCGTGCCTTCAGTTCTTCCCTCACCCCAGAGGCGCTACTATTCCAGCCTCCATAGGGCACTGATGGATCATAAAACTTCCCTTTCCCTTTCCCTTTCCCATCCGATTCTCCAGTGCTGCACTCTGCTTCACCTAACTGCCTCCTTCCTAGTGACCTATTTTTATCAGAGACAATGGACAGCAGCGAAAGGTTGAGATCATTCTTTGCCCATTTGTAAATTGCACTCAGTTTGCCTCCCACTGCTTCGATAAGAACTCTTAACTCGTCAATCTCATAACGGTACAGAAAGATCCTTTGAACCCAAGGACAAGAGCAGAGCTGCTTTGCATGGTTTAGGCACGAGTATCTGTCAGCAGAGCAGGGACATGTAGCTGCAGAGAGGTGAAGATCATAATAACATACTATGCATTCCTTTTTGCTTGTCGTATCAAAGTCCTTGTCCATCTTCTTTGACTGTGAAGAATTGCACAGATATTTCCTTCTGCTGGCCTCCAACTCAATACGTAACTGCAAAATGGAGTCAAATACACAATATGGAGAATCAATTCGTAACTACACGAATGGAGGTACTCGTGACCCGTGACAATAAAATATTAGAAAACAGCAAGGGTTTAACCAAACGGTCCTGAAGTTCCCTAAGCATGCTAACACGAGCAATAAAGGGACTGACTACCTTGAGGGCTTTCAATAAAATCCCATCCTTCCCAGCAGCCTCCTTCCATCTTGCATTAACTGAGATATCTTTGAACGAAAGTAAGTCTAACCATTGCGCCTTCACAGCTTCTCTAGCGGCACCAACCAACATCTTATCCTGGGAAATAAATGTCCGTCTTCCTTGTTCACTGTAAAGTTCAGCAGAATTCTGCCCATGTGGTAGCCACTCGACTGGAGCCAAATGGATACTCTCAGCACAATTAAAGCCAGAGTCAAACCCCGAATAACGTGTTCTTGGCAGGACAAGAACAAACTCTCCAGGACACTGAATGCATCGATAGACAGGTAATCCATCTGACTTCAATCTCGTTAGCGTCAATTTCATTAGCTGCACCAGCAAATGCATTGCATAAGAATCACTTCCTTTCTGCAAGTAGTGATCAGAAGAGTAACATATATTTGGCCATCAATAGAAAGGCGACTTGAGGCTAACTCCGAAATTGAGCGACATGAACTTCTATATTAAATAATCAAAAGTTATAAGCTGCCCCAGGAGTTTAATTACATGAAGACAAGGCATTTTATCAGAATAAGCGTAAAAACATGAAAATCTGGTGCTTTTGACTCACCTGCCTATTGTGTTGCATCTTTGAATGTTCCACAGGCGATTCTCGCAGGTAATCCTTGATAGCAATTTCAAACTTCGAACCATGACTACCAGGGATAGCATACCAGATTTTGGGGGCACCAATATGCATGTAGGAGAGATAATACATATGGTGCACTGCAAGTTTCTGCATTTGAAAGTTAATAGAGCAAATGTAAGAGATCAATAGCTTTGTTCCTATTGAAAAGGAAAACTAATGAATAACTTTCGTTTCCTTCTGCTGGATATATGAGAGTGTAGCATATCTTAGCACAATCCTATGAGAAACTCTGTGAAGCTTACCCAAGGAAAAGACGAGAAGCACATCCCTACTCTAAGTCGAGGCCGTAAGAGCCCAGAAGTACTATAGCTCTCAAATGATAGAAGTGAATCTGGAAGCACAGCTGTCTTGTTTAAGTTCCAGCCCGAGTCCAAGTACTCCTGACTGGTAAAAGTTTCTGAAGATTTATAGACGGGAAATCCACTGCCAAAGACCTGGCTATCCAGATTATCACCACAAATCACCTACAATAGTCAAGAGACAATATAATAACAGATGCCAGGGCAAGTAATGACCTGAGCTTACATGTAGCAGTGACATTAACCGAGTCTATCAGACATGGGATAAGCAAACCAAGCCCAAAACATATCACCCCAACATACCTCAATCTCTTCAGTAGGATTATCAATAATTCTTCCATACTCACCCTCAATATCCATCAGAGATGGTTCCCTCTGCTCGACACGCTCATTGGAATCCACTTCTGAATCCAAGATGCCATCTATGCAGAAGTACTGAGACGCAAAATCATCGGCATATTTCTTGAAAGTTTTAAGAGTAAACTTTGGACCAGGTTCCAGTCCTACACCTTCCATGTCAGAACACTTAACAATCTCGCCTAAATTTTGGGCCTGCATTCCATCTATCCGCTGAACTTGTGATTCAAATATCGAATCTTCCCACATATTCTTTTCAGTAATAAGACTAGGTGGATGCCACGACGGAGGAGGAACAATGCGACAGATACCATAGGGTTCTACTCTTGAACGTATACTTGTAATATACTTTAGTGTTTCCTTAAATTCCTGGAGCAGAAAAAATTAAGCTCATTCAAATAACTCTTCAGAAGCATATGCCTCACAGAATGAAAAAAAAAAAAAAAAACATCAAGAATATGACGAGAAATGCACAATCACTTTTTCCTCATAGTTAGACAGGACGGACCTCCTCATTGGGGTGGAACACAGGAGCTTCTTCCAGGACATGTTTCTTCCCTTTTTCTGGCTGCCACCTTGCCATCACCTGTTCCAGACTTGGCAAGCATCAAAATCAAAACGCAGTCCATAGTTGGGAAACTGTTGTGTAGCACCTAATTATCAGAAGAAAATAAGTTTTGGACAGGTATAGACCTTCACGCAATCCCTATAATCTGGACATCCTCTAGCAATGCCTTTCGGGAGGCAAGTGTATGAAGAATGCTCCTGCAAAAGAATTTAAGTTAGAGTATCCTGATCATAAACAAGGGAATAAATACGTAACTCTCAGTTGTCTCCAAACTTGAGTTCCAACTTGATAGACTTAAATCAGAAAGAGAAAAAGTTGAAACCGTATCCTCTTGTTTCGAGCTGGCCTCCTCTTGCATATGATCACCATCACCCAGGTCATGGAGTATCCAAGGCCGCCGTGCAGACAAACGCTTCAGCATTGCACCATCAATCACGGCAGATGCCTTCTCATCAGTTACAGAAGCTGTAGGGCCAAGCCTTTGCTCAGTGGAGTCAACTTTTCGCAACTTAAAGGATGTCTGAGACTCAACACGAGGATGCAATCGAGGACGATTCAGAGAACCTTTTTTACGAGCTACTCTTTTTGTCCTCATTGTTGTTGTTCTTTGTTCTGAAAATTGAGCAAAAGCCCACAAAGCAGCAGGTCAAAATGCATTGATAAGCTAATAACTGCTTTGATTTCTACTGCATCCTCGAATACTTGAACCCAGAATTAGAATTTATCTGCCAACTCTCCATAGCCATACAAGGAAACCTGACATACACCCCAACAACTATCAAATAAGGGACGGAAACCAGCGATGGCCAACTTAAATAACTTGTGGGTTTGCTCCAACTCTTCAACCCACTATTACTGCAGCAAGAAATGAATTTGGGAAAAGCCCCAAGTAAAGGTACTATTGTACAATCGCTGGATCCATCGACGCCTTAATTAGATGAGTTCCCCGACACCATTTGGGAAAAGCCCAGAAAAGGAATAGAGAGAGGGGAAACAATAGTACACAGCTCACTAAGATTTTCGATAGACTGGGAAGGAAACACCGGAAAAATTATTCGTTGGTCCATCGGAAAACAGAGACGGGAAAACACATACCCAGGACGAAATCAGCGCCTCGTGTTGAGAAGGCGGCGGAAATGGAGCACGTTGGTCAGGACGAAAAGCTGTGAACTGATACGGCAGAGAGGGCCATTTGCTTTAACAACTGACAGCCGTTTTGGTTCCGTTGCTTCTTTCAGCTCGGTAAATTACTAAGATCGGCGATACAGTGGCACTGTTGGTCGGTAACTCGGTATGAGGATTGAGGAAGACCACGTGTAAGGAGTTTTTTTTATAAACGGAATAGAGCTATTACAATATCAATTGCAAAGATTACATGACAATAATATGGTTATCAATTGTATATTTGCAAGCTTGTAACAAATTGTATACATGTAAGTAAAATGGTCTAAAAATATGGTGATTTTTTATTCTATTATTATTTCTCTTTTTTTATAATTTAAATATAATATTTAATTACATATACAATTGCAAGTTAATTGCATTGATGTAGGTGAATAAAAGTGATTTGATGTGGATTGCAAAACAAAATGAGTTGGCAATAAAGAATATAAATGCAATTTTTTTTTTGTAATTTCTTTGATGTGGATGCTCCAAAAATCTCTCATTTGTTCTTCGTTGATGATTCTTATTTATTCCTGCGAGGTTCTCTTCAGGAGTGCGAGGATTTAATTGAGGTGCTGAACGAATATGAGGAGCTGAGTGGTCGACAGGTTAATCTGGAGAAATCTGCATTGTGTTTTAGCAAAAATATTGCCCTGCCAGATCAAGAGTTCTTGGCCACGATTATAGGGGTTGGTGAAGTAGGGGTCCATGATAAGTATCTGGCTACGTTCCGATATTTAGAGGAGAAATTAATAGAAGGACTCCAGGGGTGGAAGCATTGGACATTGTCCTGGATAGCAAAGTAAACATTAATTAAGCCAATAGCTTTGGCTCTACCCCTGCATGTTATGTCGTGTTTCCGGTTACCCCTCTCTCTCTCTTTGTCGACTTTTGGATAGACATGTGGCCCGGTTCTGGTGGGCTGCTGAGGAGGGCCACCCCAAGGTTCGGTGGGTGTCCTTGCGCAATCTGTGCAGGAGTAAACATGATGGGGGGATGGGATTTCACCGGTTTGAACATTTTAACCAAACTCTTTTAGCAAAAATTGGTGGCGTATCCTCAATGAACTTCATTCCCTCCTTGCCCAGCTATATAAAGGGAAGTACTTTCCTCAAGGAACTTTTCTGGGCGCGATAGCTCGATCACGCCCTTCTGGGGGAGGCAGAGTATCCTACTTGGGCGCCAGTTATTGGAGATGGGTTTAAGATAGCAAGTCGGAAATGGCCCATCGGCCTCTCTTCTCCACACTAACTGGATTCCAGGGCTTCAGCTGGATCCCTCTTGCTATAATCCCCTGATCCTGCCAGATGGGAGTGACCCCTCGGTGGCGGAGGTTATTTGTCAAGGGGAAGGGCGTTGGGCTCATGATAAACTTAGTCAATGGTTTGACCCATCTACCTGTCGTGCCATTAAGGCTATTCCACTTTCGCGGCAGAATGTGGCTAATAAACTTATCTGGCATAACATAGCAGACGGGGTGTTCTTGGTAAAGTCGGATTACCATTTGGCTGTTGAGTTGGACAGGAGGAGGAGTGGGTGGCGGTCATCGGTTAGTTGGATGGATAAGCCAAGTTGGATCCAGTTGTGGGAAGCTAAGATCCCTCCGTAGCTGAAAGTCTCTGTCTGGCAAATCCTTAATCGGGCTCTACCGACCACTGAGGTGCTCATTGAAAATAAGGTCCCTGTGCTGCCCCGGTGTCTGGTCTGCTGGGATAGCCCCGAGACGATAGAACACCTGTTTCTTTATTGCCCGGTTGCGCGGGCTCTCTGCGACTATTCAGGATTGGAGTACTTGGGGGAGGGTTTGCCTCGGCACACCTTTCCTTTGTTTCTCAAATGGCTGCTGGCGCTGATCCATCAACCTTCGGTGGTCATGGCTGTGGTTGCCATCCTTTGGCGGATCTAGCGGTCTCGTAACTAGGTTGTCTTTGAAGGCAAGCAGTTTGGGATCCCAGCGCTAATGCGCCAATTTCACCAACAATATGGGGAATGGGTGGGCCTATCAGTTGACTAGGCATCTAGGGTGTCCTGTCTGTTGGTACAACCAGGGACTCAAGTGTGCGATTTTCGATTGGTTTGCATGTGGGATGGGGCCACTAGGAGTGGGTCGCACTCGGCTGGTGGGATGGTTCTTTTTGATCCGTCGAGGATGCTCCTTTTGGAAAATGGGTTCAGTTTCCTCAAATTGACGAGCCGACGGTGGTGGAACTGCTTGTGCTTCGGGAGGCTATTATTGGTGTTTGGAGAGTGGCTTGTCGGCAGTTCGGTTCGAGGGCGATGAGAAAGTAATTATCGACAAAAATTAATCAAGCTGACACAAGCGACAACTGGTCGGGGCTGTTCTGGAAGAGATATGTCAGTATTTTTGTGCCCATCCTGGGTTTAGTGTGCGGTTTATAGGTCGGAGAACAATAGGGTTGCTCACTCGGTAGCTAGAAAAGCCCTCTCTTTGTATTCGACTGTAAGTCGTTTCTTTGATTTCAGAGCCTGGCTGGTTTCCAGGATGTAACTACCTATTTGTTTGGATTAATATATGATATCTTTTGACCAAAAAAAAAAAAAGATGCTCTAATACAACTACTGCTGAGCAAGCGAGTGGTTAGAGTGCTAACACTTTTTTTGTTAGCACCATGCCAATAATAGTTCCAGCTAATCAAAACGTTTCGTTTTGATTATTACTTTTCTATTTTTAAGTGTTGACCACAATTAATTACAGATTTATCATGGAAGGACACACTTGTCATTTTTTAAAATGAAATTATCATGCGTCCATTTCTTTACTTCCCAATTCCACTGCGAGGAGCGGAGATAGAGTACAATAAGGGGGTTCCATGGCACCCCCCTTAGATTTGGAGAAAAACTCAAAATATTAGTAGTGTCAGCTAGTTAATAATGATATTTAAATCCTAAATTTTAATGTCAATCATTAAATCTTCTACTATTAAACCACAACAAACTATATAAATTAATTTCGATCTACTAATTTTACATTTCTACATTATGATTTATCAAGATGGATAAGAGATGAATATTATTTTGATAGGGAAGATGTGCATATTATTAGAGAAAATCATTAAAAAAATTTGATGACGATAGTCAGAAAAGAAATTACTTCCCATCAATGTATTTTCTTGTAAAAATATAATTAATTTGCTACTCCAATGTCAACGCACAAGTTAATAACAATTTATGCAATGAAATGATTGATTAACCTTTCGCATCAAGTGAACTGAAATTGTCAATGGTTATTTAGAGGGATACATTAAGTGCGAAATTTAATAGTTTGGTCGATTCTTATAATTATAAAATAATTTCCCAATATGAAACATGAAAGTGCATATATAATTTTTTTATGCCACCTCCTTGAATAAAATCACGCCTACGCCACTGTCCACCGTTGCTGCCAAGTCGTAGTTCTGGAGGAAGTTGTTGGTTCCCATGCTCAACACAAACACCGCATTGTTCACCATCTACTTTGCCTTCTTCACGCTGACTAGCCGGCTCAGGTGGAGCTTGTAGTGCTTGAAGTACCGTAGCTGCCTAGGATTCGAGAGCACATTCTATACATATATGTACGTACATCAACTATTCAAGAGCACATTCTAGGCAAAACTTGGCGCATGTCGTACACCAAACAATCTCCACCGTCCGCGTCTATCTCAACGACTAACATAAATGAGGTAATTTATTTTTTAATCCCACTAAAAAGAATCCGCATTAATAATGGTCGTTGATGGACGTGAACAGTGGAGATTGCTGATGTACGACATACCCCAATATATGTCTGGTGTATGATAGAAGTCTCTCTCATACCGGGTATTTTTGGCAACGGACTGGCATTTTGGGCAGAAGGCTCCCCGGTCGTGGAGGCTAAATACCTGACCAGGTAATTTTAGTTCCGACCGGGTATTTTGACCCGTGTGACGGGAATTCAGATTTTTAAGTTGTTTTTGTTATTTTTAATTGCCCATACCTATATAAAGGCTGAAACTCGGGTTTTAGATTGAGTTTTTAGTGGAATATTTATTTTAATCTTGGTTTTGAGCTTGAAGCTCGAACTTTTTCTCTGTATCAATCAAGTTTTCCCCTTGATTGTGGTGGAGACTCTATCAAAGCTTATCAAAAGTTTGGTGCACTCACAAAAATGAGTTCGTTAAATGCACCCAACTCAAAAACTAGTCTTAAGGTGTCGGATTTTGAATTTTAATTTGTAGAATTACTGTAATATGATGATATAACATATGATAACAACTAATTTGCGGATTACCCTAAGCCCTAGACCTCCAATTTTGATTTCTATCCCTAAATCCCCAATTGTAAACCTTAACCCTAACCCTAAATCTCTAAACTCTAAATCCTTCAAATTAAAGTAAACCTTTAATGGTTTTTGTGCAAATTCTTGTTCATCACATCATAAGTGATGATTGACATCATTTTAACATAAATCGCATGTTTAAAATGACGATTATGAAGCGAGTGCACTGAATGCACCCAAAAAAGTGAGTGCACCGAAGACACCACCACTATATATATATATATGGAATTATTCAAACCAATTGAGGGAAATGAGAGGGGAAGTCTACCATAAGTTCATTGAAGCATGCAACAAGTTTGTTAAAACCTACCACAAGTGAGAAGAGGAGAAAAGGAAGGGCAAAAGGGATGGGAAGGGGAAGCGGAATGCGAAGTCTACCACAAGTTCATCAAACTCAAAGCCTACTACAAGTTCATTAAAGCATATAACAAGTTTATCAAAGCATATCAAACGTGGAAAGAGGGAGTGAAAAGAAAAGGAGAAACATTTCACAAGTTTATCAAAACATATCACAAGTTCATTAAAACATACCACAAATTTATCAAAGCCTACCAAAAGTTTCTTAAAGCATACCATACCATTGGACCTATTTGTAAATTTTAAAAAATTTAGGTAACAAAATGTAAGAGGAAAAATTTTTAGGTACTAAATTATTTTTTCATCAATGTTTTTAGGACTTATATGTATAAAAGTCAGTAATCTTATTGTGGGCATTAATCATTGTCATAATCTCGTTCGTGACACCTTACTGGACATTTGTTACAGGTCTGGGATTTCTGTAAGGAGAGAGGTTGATAACGCTTTGATTGATGGGCATGGTGGACC